TTCATTTTCTTTTAAAAATTTTTAGAACTACGCATTACCAATTCAAAACGCATGAGCAAGATCAATTTGACCACAGTCGCAAACAATAAAATCCAACTAACTTTATATCTCAAATTGTGAAACTATTGTTCAATGAGCAACACAAATAAAAGTTAAGTCTGTTCAGAGTCTTGGCTTGCATAATTTCTTTTTTTTTTTAACTGCAATTTTTGCACAAATCTTGTCTTTAAGTATCAAATATTACTGTAAAATCTATAAATCATTGTGAAACTATTATTAAATGGCAATGATACGTCTGTTTAAAAGGCTTGGCGGTGCATAATTTCTTTTTTTTTTTTCATTGAAATTTTGTATAAATTTTGTTCTTTGATTAAACATACAAATTGATGTAAACGAAAGCTTTGTACACACAGCATTTTGTTATTTGAGTAACACTATCAGAGGCGTGAGAAAGAGATGCGGCAATAGAATTTGAAAAAATAATTAGTAATTATATATATTGGTTAACCTGTTAAACAAGTGTAAAAGTCTTTTTTTCATTTTACTTTTCCTCATTTCTAATAAAGATCAAGCTTTGATATCTTGAGTTATACGACGATTGTTATCATGCTTAAACTTATTCATATCGCTTTATTTATCATTGTTTAGAATCTTTGCTTATTTTGTATTTATATTTCAACACGGCCTTTATTTGGTTGATGGCTTTTTAAATCATTGGTATTTTCAGATTTAGATAATAGTATACAGTATATGCTGACGTTATATATTAAAGTTATAATAATTTTAATTTATTTATTTATTGTATTTATTTATTTTATCGAGACTTAGATTCAATTCCATAAATTCAAATATAAACTCTTGGGAATAAATTAAATAATACGAGTTATTCATCTTTATAATTCGAATTTATGTTTATTAAAGATTAATACTGCACATTTTTGATAGTTTTTTTTTTTAAAATTAACTTACCTTTTTTGATTTAAAATACGCAAATATACAGTAATTTATAATTTTTTCTTGGCATTTTTTCTATTGATGTTCATGTGTACTTAGATCTGGTATAGGGCGTTAAATGCAATACCGATTGCTAACGTCCATGTGTTTATGTAAATAAAAATAAAGGATTAAAATCAATTTATCGTGAATGTAATGTGCTATGATCAATAACGCCAAGATTTTTAATAATCAAAAATTTCCAAAAAAGTCTTTTCATTAAGTTCTCACTTTCTTCTGTGGGACAAGAAATCTATTTGTAAACAAGGCAAAAATTTTGCCTTATATATATGCTTGATTACAAAAATATCATTTCTTCATTGATAAATCGACTTTTTTTTTTACTATTGTTTTTATTAAAACGGAACTATCGTGATACATAAAATCTTTAACATTGCATTATAAATGTTATATACTTTTTTAGCTAATGCAAAACAACTTTGACCATGCGATAATTTTAAAGGATCTACCCAAATTTCCAATGTGCAAAGTCTCGGATAGCTTATCGGTATTAAGCCCATATCGGAAGTGTTAGTGAATCTTCTTTTAGAAAGAAAACTTTATACAAATTATAGTTTTTTTTTTCTTTAAAATAAAGATATTTCTTTTTATTATTACAATAAAAATTTAAATTATACAATTTTAAAAATACAATAGATAAAATCCATACTTTATGTAAATTTTAAATAACTAATGCTGTAATGTGCTAAAAAAAGTTATTCATCTTCGTCATAATCCTTTTTTTTTCTACAACTACTCCTTTGAAAAGATTTAATAAGCATTTTGCATAATTTTGAAAGGATCATTATTCCAAGTGCGCCCAAGATAACTGTTTGTAAAATAATTAATGTAAGTGAAAAGATTTTTAAAATACTTGGTGGAACAATAATACTAAGACTCTTTACAAATGGAACTAAAAGGAGAACAACAATAATTCTAGAAATTGAAAGAAATATGTTTAAATAATTTCCGAATATATTATCGGCATATGGGTTATGATTAATTAGCATAATAAAGTAAAAAAATTCGATTAAAAAAAGGCCTCCAAGTTGCGCTTCTCCGCTGACTTGTACTGCACCAACTACACATGCACGTAAGATTGTGTGTGTGATTGAGATTCTGTGAAACATGTACTCATCGGGCCTAAATTGGTTGTATAGTGCTGAATAAACGAATTTATATTTCACATTGTCAAGCAGATCAATATCTTCTGATTTTATGAGTTTTGAGATTTGTAATATACTGAATGCGTGCATAAAGACAATATAGGCTAAAATAATTGTGGCAAGAAGAAGGAGCATCCAGCAATCATAAATGATAGATAATTGGTATACTGTAAGTGCTACTAGCGGAAATGCAAAGTTAATTGCCTATATTTAATTATTAATTTTGAATATATAAAATTAATAAATTATTAATAAACTTTAAAAACTGACGCTATTTATATAATGTATGCATATTTACCACACGTAAGACGCCACCTTATATAAAAAATAATGATAATAATTGCGTAAATATTTAGAGCTTAATATGTTTGCATGAAATAAAAGAATCTTTTTCAACATACCGAACAAAAATATATGAACATTATCTCTTAATGTTTTCAAGTATTCTGGTGCATTTTGTCGATATTTTATCACTATAATTGCTAAACCAGCACTCAAAAGAACCAACACAATTGCGACAGCGTTAACTACTAAAAATCCAATCATTGACGTAAAAGGAAGGTCTTCTACAGGAATACCAATTATATGTGCATATGAATCTAACCCGTTCGGATTTACAACAGGTTGCGATGAATTTGTAGGAAAGTTGGATCCAAATGTAAGACTAGCATTTGATCCTATTGGCGGTAATGTATATCCATTTTCTTGATCAACACATGCTCCCGGAATTGATGTTGCATTTGTGTTTTCACTAATAATTATATTACAAATACTATATCGTAAATTATTCGCAGCAGAAACAAGTGTATTAAGATTGATATATCCTTGTGCACATGCCCATGTAAATGTTGAAGCGAATCGGCGATATTCAGATGTTAAATTTAATGAGAGCCATCCTGTAGCAATAATTGATTGGGTATAAAATATAAAGTCATAAAATGAT